CCGAGGCCAACGCCGGTGGCCGCTGAGCCCCCCAGCTCGGCCACCCGCTGTGCCCCTCAAGCCAAGCGGTTCCAGGAACCCGTCTCCCCCTACCTACCTGCTCTTGACCGCTGAAGTCCCTTGCCCTGCTGCCCGCGCCCGCGCTGCAACCCGCTTCCCAAGCGCTGACCTGTACAGTGATGCCCCTGCCTGCTAAGCCTGTGTAATCTTTACAACTTCACACAAAACAGCCCAGCAACACAGCGGCCCAGGCCTGCCACGGGAGGAGCAGGGGGCGGCCTGCCTGGCGTGTCGGCTTGGCGGTTGAGCCGCGCCGGAGGGGCTCCTGCTGCCTGCCCTGCAGCTGCCTGGGTGTCTGCTGCCCTCCCAGCGAGGGCGTGTCCTGCCTCTTGCCCGCTGCTGCCCCCTGTCCCGACCTGCGAGAGGCCGCCAACACGCCGCCCGGCACAGATGCAGCAGGCCCCACCCACTTGGTTGCGCAACTCATCTCTGGCGGGCAGGGTTCTTGCAACAGAGAGGGCCTCACGGCACCAACACAACAACAAGCGCCAAGCAAAAGCTGGCGGTGCACACCGTGACACCCAGCTCAGGTGTAGAACAAGTCCTGCCAGCTGGGCAGGCCCAGGGAGCGGGCGAGGCGGGTGACACGCCAGAAGCCCAGGCGGTTGAGCACACGCCGCAGGCGGCTCGGCGACAGCGCAGCGTGCAGCCGCCGCAGCGCGGCAGGCCGGTGCTTGAACAGCTGGTGCACGGTGGCACCGGTGTACCGGCCCCACCATTCGTCCAGCACGTACATCCCCGGGCCGCGCAGCATGGGGAGAAACGCACGCCAGCCAGCCTCTGCAGGCCGCAGCCTCGGTCTGGCGAGGGCGCGCAAGAGCGGCAGGAGGAAGGCAACTGGTTGGCAGGTGGTGGTTGCTTGAAATGCGAACACCAGCCGTGCAGCCAAAGCAACCCATTCTGCCAGGCGGTCAGCCAGCAAGAGCCAGCTGCCGGCTGGGGCGTCACGGGCGGGTGGGCCCAGCGCACAGCTGCTGCAGCCACGCCGTGACAGCCACTGCAAGCCGATCGCGGCCATGCGCTTTGCCCGCTGCCATGAGTCCCGCTGCCGCACAACTTCCCAGCCGCCTGCCTCTGCACGGTCCCTCAGAAGCCAGGCAGCCAACCCGCCAGCTATGATGGCGCCGCTGTATGCCTGGCGCTGCGCAAGGGGAGGCAGCTTGCTGGCCGCGGCGCAGGCAGCCGACACATCTGCGTCACCGACTGCCAGCCACACCACCTCCTCTGCCCAGGCTGTCAGCATCGCTGACCATTTGACAGCCACGCCGACGGCACGAGACGCCGCTCTTGCCGCGCGAGACTGCTCTATTTCCCGCCGCTCCCGCGCATCGACGAAACCGCCGTCGACTGCCGCACGCCAGGCCGCCGCCGGCACACGGTATCGCTGTCTGCAGATCTCACACTTGCTGGTATCTTGCAGGCCACGCATCCTGCTCATCTGCCACGCGTGCAAGCAGCTGTATGAACAGGGAGGCCGAGGGGTTGGGGTGAGCGAGTTTCACCGGCGCCAGGGCGCCCTGGTGCGCGTGGCTCGTCCTCTCCTGCTGCTCCCCTCCCACCCCCCAGCCCGAATCCTACCTAAGTTGCACCGCCGCTTGCGTCCCACGGCAGCCGCAGGGCTGTACGAGCAAGTCGGCGAGCCCTCTGGGCGCAGGATGGGGTGGTTCCAAACAGATGCGGCACTCCGGCTCTTCCTGCACATCGGCCATGGCGTGACAGCTTGTGATTCGGCCAGCAGCCGCTATTTTGCGAAGAGCCCTAGCCCGCCCTGTACACTTGTGCAGTACAACCACTTGTCCGAACGAAAAACAGCATCGGCGTCTTGCAAGACGCCGGCGCTGCAGCGGCTGGCAAGATGGCGTCGCTGTGGAACCGAGAAAAATTGCGGCAGCTCGCCGACAATGCACGAGCCAGCGCCTCCAAGCTTGGCACTCAGCTCCAGCAGGGGGTGCAGAATGCGCAGCAGCAGATGCCCGGGCGCACGCTATCCCTCTCAGGTGATCCGTTCGTCGCGACTATTGTTTTTCGACCCGTTCAGAGGATGCCAGACCCCCCAGCCTTGCCTACTGCGACCGAGGGACTCAGTAAGCGCGCGCCGTGCAGGGAACGGCGAGGGGAGCCAGGCGCCGCAGCCAGCGGCGGCGGCGGGAGGCGTGCCGCGCACCGCCAGCAGCGGGCTGAGCAGCCTGTCGCCTGACGAGGCCATCCACCTGCTGCAGAGCCAGGTGGGTGCAGGGCTGCTAGGGCCTGGCTGTGTGGGCGGGTCGGCCGGCCTGCCAGCGGTCTCCCTCCTCCCGCCGAGCTGTGTTATGTGCTCTCTGCGGCGCCGGCACCTGTCTACAGAACAAGGCGGTGCGGGAGCGGCTGCACGCAGCGCAGGCGGCGGCAGAGGAGAACGCCCGCCTCAAGGCCGATGTGCAGCAGCTGTGCCAGCAGATGGTGGGCGCTGGGTGCTGCCCGTGCTCGCGCCGGGGTTTTCGTTCCTGCAGCCTGCGACAGCTGCCTGCTGCGTTGACCGGTTGCGTTGACCAACCGTCACCCCTAAGCCGCCGCCGGCTGCAGGAAGCGGAGCAGGTGCGGCGCGCGGCGCAGCAGCAGGAAGCGATGGCCGCGCTGCAGGCCGCGCAGCAGCAGCACGCGGGCGAGGTGCAGCAGCTGCGGCAGCAGGCCGCCCAGCTCAAGGGCGCCGCCGCTGCCGCCGCCTCGGCCGCGGAGGCTGAGCTGGAGAGCACCCGCGAGGCGCTGCGCCAGCAGCGCCAGCAGAACGTGCAGCTGCGGGGGGCGGCCGCCGAGGCGGAGGCGCTCAGGCGCCAGCTGGCAGAGGCGCAGGAGGCGGCACAGCAGCGGGCCGCGGCGGCGGCGGCAGAGGATGGCGCGGCCCCGCAGGGCGCTTCCGCTGCCGCAGCCGCGGCGGCCATAGCAGAGAACGAGCGGCTCACGGAAGAGGTGCAGCGGCTGATGCAGCAGCTGCAGGAGGTGCAGGCGGCCGCCGTGCCGGGCGCTGAGGCGTCTGCCGCCGCTGCCGCGCCTGGCGAGGCGGAGGGCCGCGTGGCGGCGCTGCAGGCTGAGCTGGCGGCCGCCCAGGCGCAGGTGCAGGTGTTGCTGAACGAGCGGGAGGTGGCTGTGCTTGACCAGCAGCAGCGCGCGGAGGCAGCCGCGTCGGAAGCCGCCGCGCTGCGGCAGCAGCTGGAGCAGCAGCGGCAGGAGGCGGCCGCCGCCGCCGAGGCCCTGCTGCGAGAGCAGGAGGAGCGGCAGCGGGGGCTGGCCGCCGACAACGCCGCCCTGCGGCAGGCGGTGGTGGCACTGGAGGGCGCGGCCGCGCAGCAGGCGCAGCGGGCGCAGCAGGAGCTGGAGGCACAGGCCGCCGAGCTGGCGGCCGCCGCCCAGCAGGAGCTGCGGCAGCAGGCGCAGTGCGCCGAGGAGGAGGCGGCGCGCGAGCGGCAGCAGCTGCTGGCGGCGCAGGCCGACAGGCAGGCGCTCACGCAGGCGGTGCGCCATCTGGAGGAGGCCCTGGAGCAGCAGGCGGCCGCCGCCGCAGCCGCGCAGGAGGAGCAGCAGCAGCGGCTGCACGCCCTGGACCAGCAGCTGGCCAGCACGGCTGCGGCCGCGTCGCCGCTGGTGAGAGGGGGAGGCTGAGCTGGCAGCCCGCGCCGATCCTGCCCTGACCAGCAAGTCCCGCAGGCATCATCCCTTTTTCTTCACACCCAGACAGGAAACCGTCGGCTGCGCTGCTGCCGTCTCACCCACCCGCCCAGCCTGCCTGC